ACACAAAGCACAAGGTATTTTTCAAAATGAGGTAAGCATCTAAGAGCCCGTAGATAACTATGGCTGGAAAGGGTGCTAACACCTTCCTTTCCATAATCTATCCCCCTTACTCAGAAAACTCTTGAAAGGTCTTTTTCTGTACTTTTTACGCTTTCCTTTGTTGGATAAAAGAAAAGTCGGTGGCGACTCTTACTTACCGCAACATTTGTGAATACAAACGCATAACCAATATAACAGTCGGTTCTGCCACCGTACCACACCTTGGTTTAGACACATTTTACAATTTCATGCACTTGGGTAAGACACCACTTTTACCTTTTCATTCTCTCTGGCATATCCCGAATCATTGCATTATCCGATTCGTCTGGAACCTTTTTCCTTATCTCTGATCCGTCAAGAATCATTGCATTATCCGGTCCATCCGAAACCTTTTTTGATTCTATCTGGTTTATCCTAAATCTTTTCATTACCTGATCCAGTAGGAATCTTCTCATTATCAGATACGTCTAGAAATATTTCCATTTTCTCTGGTCCATCTGGGAAGTTTTCAAATCATCTGGTCTGTCTGAAACCCTTTGATTATACATGCATTTGTCCAGAACCATTTCAAACATTCACTCCTTGTGGACCGTCATTAACCCATCAGTTGAAAGTAGTTTTCATTGACCCATCGACCAAAGTTAATCAACCCATCAGTTGAAAGAAGTTTTTATTGACCCATCGACCAAAGTTCATCAACCCATCGGTTTAAAATATTTTAATTGACCCATCAATCAAAGTTCATCAATCCATCAGTTGAAAGCATTTTTTGTCGATCCATTAGGTGAAGTTCATCAATCCATCGGTTGAAAATAGTTTTTGTCAACCCATCAGTCAAAGTTAATCAACCCATCAGTTGAAGACAGTTTTCATTGACCAATTGGTCTGTCCGAAACACTTTAATCATCTCTGGTCTGTCTGAAAAACTTTAAATCCTATGACATTTGTCCATCCTGCTCTCTTTAGTGTCCTTACTACATCCAAGTTGGGGACTCATGTCATTCCAAGTCCTATCAAGGCAAAATTAAGATTCGGAGGTACAACGTTAGACTGTGGATCGGTGTGTGTCCACATATCTTCCGTAAAGTTACTCCTCCATACAGATTGTTTCCTCTTAGAGGGAAAATTGGGGGTCTTTCAATATTTAATTATCATCCACCACGAACATGCGAAGACCTTGTCTTCTGCACCCTCGAGGCGAAGGGTAATTAAATAGGGGCAACTGTCATACCCTAAATTTGTTGACCCTTCATATATTTTCTAGTTCTACTTCATTTTGAATAAATGAAATAGTACAATTGGTAGGAGAGCATGTGTCAGGAATGCAAGTATGTGGTTGCACTCCTTTTTTGCATTTATTTTATTATTTTGTTTTTTTTATTGAAAAAATGGTCAAAAGTCAAATGTTGATTTATTTTAATTATTTTAATATTATTTTTGTTTTTTATTTATAGACATTTTTAATTGTTATTTTTCATTTAAATCTTTGATTTTATGCACAAAATGGCTAAAAACCCAACAAAAAAAGCAAGAATCATTCAAAATCTTTCAAATCCAATCTTCATTCATCATCAAATCAATCATAAATTGATACAAGATTGAGAAAAAGTCACAAATTCATCCCGATTCATAAGTTTGCTCACCAAGACATGAATTAAATCTCAATCTACTAAATCATGTCAAAAATAGGTGAATCACATTCAATGTCAAACCTTCATATATAAATAGACTCTTAGTTTCTACACTTTTTCCCATCCGCAATTCACAAAAACTCATATTCCTAAATTTTTTTGCTCTTTACACTAAAGAATAACAACAATTAAACTCTAAGCCTCCATTATAAATTCGAGCAAAAAAGAAGAATCTTGCACTAAAGCAGAAAGGAAAAAAGCACAAAAAAATGAGAAAGAAAAAGAGGGAGCAACTTATTGTAGTCACGAATTTGTTAAGATTTTGACTTTTTACTATTATAATTTATTTATTATTTATGTTTGTGATTAATAGTTCTTTGCATTATATATTCAGTTTATTTTGTATTTTTAGGGTCACCCTTTTTTTTTTCTCTTTGTTTTAAAACTTTATATTTTAATTATACCAAAAAAACTTTTTCTTTTTTTAATCTTAAAAAAAACCCCTTTTTTTAAAATCTTAATATTTATTATTATTATTATTATTATTATTATTATTATTATTATTATTATTATTATTATTATTATTATTATTATTATTATTATTATTATTATTATTATTATTATTATTATTATTATTATTATTATTATTATTATTATTATTATTATTATTATTATTATTATTATTATTATTATTATTATTATATTATTATTATTATTATTATTATTATTATTATTATTATTATTATTATTATTATTATTATTATTATTATTATTATTATTATTATTATTATTATTATTATTATTATTATTATTATTATTATTATTATTATTATTATTATTATTATTATTATTATTATTATTATTATTATTATTATTATTATTATTATTATTATTATTATTATTATTATTATTATTATTATTATTATTATTATTATTATTATTATTATTATTATTATTATTATTATTATTATTATTATTATTATTATTATTATTATTATTATTATTATTATTATTATTATTATTATTATTATTATTATTATTATTATTATTATTATTATTATTATTATTATTATTATTATTATTGTTATTATTGTTATTATTATTGTTATTATTGTTATTATTGTTATTATTATTATTATTATTATTATTATTGTTATTATTGTTATTGTTATTATTATTGTTATTATTATTATTATTGTTATTATTGTTATTGTTATTATTATTATTATTATTATTATTATTATTATTATTATTATTATTGTTATTATTATTATTATTATTATTATTATTATTATTATTATTATTATTATTATTATTATTATTATTATTATTATTATTATTATCATTATCATTATTATCATCATCATCATCATTATTATTATTAAAAGACCTTTTTCAAGATCTTAAAAAACATTTTTTTAATCTTAACTTTTTTATTATTATTATGAAAAAAACTTTTTTAACCTTAAAAAATATTTTTTTTCTTTAGCCTTAATCTTTTTATTTATTACTATTAAAAAAATATTAAAAAATATTAACCATTCTCTCCCTTTCTCATGATACTACAAAACACCATCAATTTTTTTCTCCCTTTTGTGCAACTTTTTAACTTTCTTTTATTATTATTATTATTATTATTATTATTATTATTATTATTATTATTATTATTATTATTATTATTATTATTATTATTATTATTATTATTATTATTATTATTATTATTAATACTATTATTATTATTATTGGTATTATCATTATAAATTTATAATAAATTTTTTTTGTTAATGGTGTAGGCCCTTAAGGCCTCTTTATTATTTGCACTCTATAGATTTTATCTATATAATTTAGTTTAATTTATTCTTTTTCAGTTAGATTTATTTTATTATTAATGAAAAAAAAACAATTTTCCATTTTAGTTTATTAAGTTTAATATTTAAAAGTATAAAAATATTTTATTTTTCTCTAGTTAGATTTTTATTTTCAAATAAAAATAAATAAACTTGTAATTAAGACTCATGCTCTTGTACATAATTTATAAGCTTTCCGACTAACTTCAACATCACAATCGTTTAATTCATAGTTCACTCGTACATAAATCAATTAACAAAAAGACAAAAATACAAAATCAATCCACTCTAAAATCTACGTCACCCATCAAATTA